TGTTATGCATTAATAACATAAAATTTTAGGTAGATACAATCATAAAATAGATAATTAATCGAATAACATTCAGATTATATGATGGACACGTACCCACCTTGAAATAAGGGTGAATTCACCACTTATCACTGTAATTATAAGCGATTCATCTTTTTTTAGTTTGAGTGGAAAGTCGTGGTTTGTGGTTAGATGATTGTTGGTCGATGTCAAAGTATTATATTTCTATAAGGAGGTAGAAGAGAGATAGGTGAAAGAGAGATAATTCTATAATGGGATTACAAACGGTCAATATTGCCCTATTTTGGAGACTTAAAGAATATGAGAGAGAGAAAATAACCTCAATCTTTTTGGCCATGTCTGGTTGCTTATATACGAACACGGAGTGTTAATGTCAAATTAATGGTCATGATGACTATTTATAGGTTTGCAAGGGTGAATAGACCATACTATTAATAAATCATATGGGTTTACCAATGGTCACATCATGACGTTATAGTTGGGTGAAAGATATGAACCTTCGAGGAATTTTGGAGGTGTAACCTAACGTGGCATGCGAATGAGGTACAACAATTGTCCCCCCCCTTGATCTTGGGAATGTCATAAAATGACATAATCCGAGACTCATGGTAGAATGCACTCCTTATCGAGGTCTACACTGAGGCCTCTTTGCGGAGCATTCATGGCTTTAATCTAAAGTGCATAACGGATGATTCAGTTTTCTATTGCAGAGACTCACTTATAATTTATTTTAAAATTTGACAAAATTATCTCAACCCCTATGTATATGCACAACGAAAAACCCTAGATTCTTTCTATGAGGTGATTGGAGAAAACGACGATATCCTGATACAACACAGAGGAAATGGATAAATTCTTATTGTATTTAATTTTTTTTAATGGTGGATAACTGAAAAAGAAACAAAATATAACATTAAGTATGATTTTGAAAAGATAATAATAATTAGATAATCAAACCAAAAATAAAATAATAGGTGAGTGATTAAATAGATAATTTATCCTTTTTTTAATTATATGTGAACTTCATAATTTTCCAATATATACTATCTTATAATCACCTAAAGTAATAAAAAAATTAAATAATTTTTTACTATTTAATTAACTTTGAGTGCAAAATAAATCGGTTAAAAGTAAAAAAATATTGGTCTATTCACAGATCTAAAACCGAATAATCTTATAAAAATATCTTCCAAAAATCAAGAAATGAAAACTAAGAAATATACATTTAGTAATAATGCATGCAATTCAACTATATTATATATAGTAGTAAGCTTTCCAATGTTTGTATCCCTTTGGGTCTTCCGGTCGGCTGCCAATTTCCACATTCTGTCAAAAAGAAGATAGCAAGCTCTCTAAATAATCACTCCCCAAATCCTGAAACTCAAATACATCACCATAGCCATGCTCAACAACCTCTTCCACAGTTGCCAGTCTCTGTAATTTACACTCTTCAACCATAAAAAACTCACCGTTTTCCTCCCAATCTCTAGACTCACTTTTCGGGTTATTTCCAAGACCGGCACGAGCGGAGCCGTTGCTTCGATAAGTTGCAGTCGGCGAACAATGGTCGAAGTGATCATTTGTGTCGTCAATTCCCATTGCTCCACGAACCATCTCTAATGGGAAGTTGAGAAATGCTTTGGGACCTCTGATTCTTAAAGCGGCTTTATCATATGCCATAGCGGCTTCCTCCGCTGTTTCGAAAGTCCCGAGCCACACTCGAGCTCCTTTCTTCGACGAACCTCTTATCTCTGCCGCGTACTTTCCCCAGGGTCGCCGTCTCACTCCTCGGTAGTGTCTTGTCGTCTTCGTTGCTACCTTCTCTACGCTCATGGAATTCACTTTAATCCCTCGAGTGGTTATATCTTTGCTCATTTCATCGTTACGGAATTGACCTATATCCCCTCATGGAATGATCCCATCAAGAAGACCCTCCCGGGCGTCGGCTCCCATCGATATCCATCCCCTGAGACTTGGTAGGCTCGACGTCGATTTTGTTGCTTCATCTCCACCAATGAAGTTGGCCCAAACATTCTCTAATATTGACTGATCAAATGTTGCATGGCAACAGCTTTCTATAGCCATCTTAGTAATGAGCTAATCCCAAAGTGTCACAAAGGGTTTTGATAATCTAGGAATATATAAAGAATTGAATACGCGTGATTTGAATCTTTATCACATACTCCGTGTCAAGTTCCAGTAAGAAACTTGTCATTGAAGTAACCGACCTACTTAATTCATGGAAAAGAAAAATAATTTGGAATTCAAACAATAAAGAAATGAAGTGGATTTGTGTATTTTAAGGCTTTTATGTTGACTTATGTGGTTGGTCTAATCATTTGAAGGCTTAATTTATGCATAATATTGCAATATACCTACACTTGATATATATATATATATATATCCTGAAATTCTTCCTGCAATTGCTAGCAAAGCACATAAGAAACAGCTGAACCAGGGGGATTGAAAGCTGGCAAGAGACTGAATTCTTTATAATAATCTTAAACTTATGCATTCTGGCGGTTTATCATGTTTTATATATTTCATCAAAGACATAAATTGCCCAGAAAATGAGAGGTTTACCCATTAGATAACTTGTAATTCAAGTTGCCGAAATATCAAGGATAAGGATTATGTAAGTTTGAAGAATATGGTTAGTTTTCTTTGAATATACATGTTATAATCCTAGCTTTTCCTGATTTTAAAAGTCTAGAGGTTTCCGAACATTCCTTCCAATCCCAACTGTCGCTAAAGATGTTTTCTCAGGATATGTGTTTTTACTTGCTGTCTCTGTACACTTCAGCTTTCCGGTGATAAATTGATAGTTATATTATAAACATCCAAATTTCTTGGCATCCAAGTATTGACACATCATCGTTATTAAAATATAAATTTAAGATACCAATTGAATTTAGGTATAATTAGATGTAATTATACAGTTATGACGGTTTAAACAATCATTGTAATATGCAGGGGTGGATGTATATGGTTTTGATGGGTTCAATTGCATACCCATTATTTTGGAAAAATTATTAAATCTGGTTTAGTATATTAAGGGAAATGAAAAAAATAAAGAAATTTGCATACCTATTTTTTTGGAAAATAAAATATTAGAATTTTGAACCCCTATATTTTAGTTTCTAGATCCGCCACCGGTAATATGTAAATCTTATTAAATTAAATATAACGGGATGCTTTCAATTATACTCTTCAATTCTTAGAGGAAGAGCGAAAATTGGTTAATTACTACTTCAAATTAATAATTTAAAATAATTTAAAATTTAAGCTTATTAATAGTGTAATTAAAATTTGTTTTAATGTTTAAATAAATTATACTTAAATATAATTATTAAAATAATAATTATATTTTTTATATCATTATATTACAATGTTAAAACAAGTTCTTGAATTTATTGCGAGAGGAATATAATATAAGGTCACACGCCGCAATGAACCAAAAGAAGAAAACTTCACTAATTTATATGGAAGTCGAAACAACGGAATAGATTAGGATTAACCTGGATAAATTAATATAATTTATCTAAAAATATTTTTAACATGTCAAATTAGTAATACAATAAATATTTAAAAAATATTTAAAAAATATTCTTGTTGATTCATAAGTTTCCCAAGAGACTGTAAGGAAAATTTTCATTTTTTTAGAGAAAGGTCAGTCGATCCTTTAACCTTCGTCCCTATTTTTTGTGTTAAATTGTGTTAATATAATATGTTTAATTATTTATTTCCTAATTTTTTCATGTCGTGTAATCGTATCGTGTCTAGTAGTATTAAGTCTAGCCTAAAATTTAAATATAAATGGGCTGAATTGAATAAATTAAAGTTTATAAAACTTTATTATTTTGAATTTAATAGTAGAGAAGAGGAGGTCATTTTAAAATTACAAGTCTAAGTTTGATTAAGTTGCGAATTTAGTTCATTTTCATTATAATAATTAGCACATGTATTCTGGTTTGTAAAAAAAACTGATAACTATATAATTTGAGATATATATTTTATCAAATTCATCGAAAGCGAATAATCAAAAGACCAAAATTTATAACTAATAAGGATTGGTCTAAGTGGTAAGCAGTTTGATATCGTTTAAATAATGTCTCGAGTTGGAGTCTTTGTATGCAGAAAATACATATTGAGAGACTCGTCCACCAAAGTCAGATGTGCGATGTAAGTCAGTCCGGATCAATCAAGACAAAACTTTAAAATCAAGAGGACAAAAAAAAAATACCAAAATTTGTAGAATGGATCGCACCAACCGTTTGAAATAGATCCTTTGACAAGTAAACCTAGGAGTCGGTAAATTGTCACATGGATCAAAATGGAGCACTCATAAAAGTCTTTTGTTGCAAATGGACCTAAACTAAGGTTGTTCTTTTACGTTTATTAACTTTATTGACTAATCATAAATTCTAGAATCAAAACCAAATTGGTGCACTTGTACGAGGAAATCAAATTGCATTTTTATACATTGTTTTAGTGTCAATTGCAAAAACATTTTCACTTAATTAGAAATTTTGAACCTTAAGATCTATCGGGCAAAACTAAATCCATTCTAAGAATTTAAGATGATTATAAGGTCATATTTGTTTAAAGTTTTTTTTAATCATTGACACATACACCTTACAAACGAAATTACTCGAATTCAGATCTTTTAGAAAACATTCTCATTATTATTGAAGTTATTGATTTAACAAAATTGACGTAAATGTGTTTCTAAATAAATCAACTCCAACATGATTTAAACTTATAATAATTTAAATAAAAATCCGAATAACAATAATAAAAGAACTAAACTCAAAGATAATTGAAACTCAAAGTTGATTTAGACCGAAATTACATGAAAGTTTTAAAACCTGAAATCAATCCATCAAAATCCCTCCCTCCAAAACCAATTTTACTTGCCCAATTTACATGAAAAATAAAATCTGTCGATATCATTAGGGAGGAAAATTGAAAAGGGAAAACTTTCAAGACCTTGTGTTGTTCAAGTTATCTGATTCTGAGCCTTTATTATGGGACTCCCCTTTTGTGCTGCTCTCTGACTCTGATTTCGATGTCCCAAATGAAATCATGCTGGAGCTACTTCCTGAATCAAGGGTTGCTCTCTCCATGCTTTTGGAGCTTAAATTTGGTCTTATTCGTTGAACCGACGCCGCCGCCGCCATGATTTCAGCCGGAAAATTGAGTAAAGCCTTGGAACCACGCATCCTAAAAGCCGCCCTGTCGTAAGCCAGAGCAGCTTCTTCAGCTGTTTCGAATGTCCCGAGCCAAACCCGAACCCCTTGTCGAGTCGAGTCACGGATCTCGGCCGCAAATTTTCCCCAGGGACGACGCCTGACGCCTCTGTAATGCTTCTTCCCGATGGTCCTGGCTGGTTGGAGCGCGGCGGTTTGGTTTCTCGGGGGTAATTGCAACTGGTGACGGTAGTTATTGGTTTGCAGGGCATGATGATGAGCGTTGTTGGCTTCGTTCAAGACGTGGAAGATGAACATGTCCTGAGAGTCATTCTCGTTCAATGGAAGATGATGATCGGTGTTCTGGACCTTTTCTTGCTCTCTATTGGATGCCATGTTGATTTGCAGGGCATTCAAGTTTGTACCAAGTGGCTCTGGACTTGTATTTTAAGGAAGACGAATAGTGGATTCGTGGTGGCATGTGGGGTGGTGTTTTTCTCTGGGGAATTTTATTACCACTTTGTATTTGCTAACCAAATATATTTATACATCTACAATGAACCACGCACTAATATTTGATTATTATTATTTTTTAAAAATACAAAATAGTAAAACTTATTTAATTCTTAACTAAAATCTTTTAATATATGGATAAATCTATACGTTAAAGCATATTAATGTATTTAAGAAGTCATAAATGGAGCAGAGATATTTGATCAGTTAGTCGAGCTATTCATCTTTGTTCTTTCATATTCTTTTAGGTCATGGGATTTAGACCTACTAAGAGCATTCCACTTCTTAAAATCTAGTCCGAAAGTTCAAATTTTTTAAGTTTGAGATTTAATTGAAAATATTTCAAATTTTAATGGGTTTAATTAAATTAAATAGGAAGTTCATAGGATTAAATTGAAATAAATTAAATATAGTGGTGAGCTTGAAAGGAATTGATGAAAAATTGAGAACTAAATTGAAGGCTAGTTAAAGTGAGATGTCTGTTTTGAGAAGTCTTAAAAGTTTAAATACCTTTGTATAATTTGACAATATATATATGATGCATATGTAATTGTTCAAATATGATATTTTAAAGGAAAACAATGTTTTTTTATTTATGAAATCACTTAATAAATTATATTAAAAAATAATTAGATAAGAAAAAGAATATGAGAAAAATAAAATATCATATAAGTAATTTATTGAAAAAGAAAGGTAGTGAGGGGGTATTGAAAGTCTGAAAATTGTGAGGGACCGAGTGACATATGGTCTTGTTTGGAAAATAGGTTTAGTCTTAATTGGATAATTTTCATTCAATTATGACGAAAATAGCAAAATTGGGTTTGATGTCAATTTTGAACACATCATTTTGTTGAGTGTATCATATACAGATTATAGTTTCGATTGCGTACGAGACCTTCAATGGACATATTTTAAGGAGGGTGTTATGAATATTTATTATTTATAAATGTTTATTATAATTAAATTTTATATATTATATATGACTTTGATATATTTTATTTAGGATTTTTATGTCTATTAAGAAATCGAAGTGTTCAAATTTGAATTTTTATAGTAAAAAGAAATAAAAGTTGTAAATCCAATGACGCAAAGAGTTTGGCATCCATAGGAATATTTGAGGTCATCATGCTCGTCATATTTATTACCATAATACGACAGTTGTCTCGAAAATCAATCTCTACCTTTGACTTTTCAACATTTGAGATGTTTCTGTCAAAAATTACAACTCTATCCATACATAAATTAAAAAGAATCCATGAAACAATCCGCCACTATTTTCTTATTATCAATTAAGTCTGTTTATAAACTCAAAATATTATTATCTTTAATAAATATTATATATAACACTTGATGACGTTTAGGGGTGTAAATGAATAGAATGTTTGGTGAACTGTTCGTGAATCGTTCGTTTACGTTCGTTTGAGAAGTTAAATAAACGAGTATGAATAAAAAGTTTTATGTTTACTTAATAAACGAACAAACACTAACAGAGGTACATTTGATTCGTTTATGTTCATGAACAAACTCATTCATGAGCTCGTTTAATGACTCATTCATTTATGTTCATGAGCAAGCTCGTTTACCCGGTTCTCAATTTCCTTTTTTCATTTTAAATATTGGTGATTGTAGAGATTAAATTAAAATTTAAATTGTAAATTTTAAGAAGTTTAAGCATTAGTGACATAATTTTATCATTTTTCTTTAGCTTGCAAATGAAAGAATAAAAACAAAAATCAAATATATAAACTAACACTAAACGAACACTAAACAAATATGTCTGTGAACGTTAAATGAACACGCTCCTGAACATATAAACAAATATGTTCGCGAATATTAAACGAAAATGTTCACGAACAATAAATAAACAAACATGAACACCTTTAAAAATAAATAAACGAACATGATATTAAAAATATAAATGAACACGAATGAAACACAAACATTTTAAAATAACAAACGAACATGAACATAATCTAAACTCGATTCATTTACACCCGTACTGACATTCATAGCTTTGGTGGAGCTTATAGGTTTGATACTTTAATGAAGTAGGTATAATGGGGTGTTAGCTATTGAGAGGATAGAATGATTTATGTAGTTATGTCAGCTATGCATTCGGTTATATCAGTCTAACTATTGAGAGGATAGAATGGAACAGTTTCGAACTGTACTGTTAAGGTTGGTAGAACCGAATGCATAATTGTTCTGTTCTATCCTCTCAATAGCTAACATGAGGGTTAGGTGACAAAGCGAAAATTGTATTAATGAAACTGTTTTTTTAGGTTATTACTAAGTTAATGTACACCACATTTGTTAAAGATAACAATTTTTTTTTCACGAATCAAATTTCTTTAATAATTAAAGAGATAATTGCGTTTTTTAGAGTTTTCAAGTTTAATCAATAAAAAATAATATTTGAGCATCCATTATTAAATGATTAAGAGTATTTAAAACATATACTAATACTTATAATCACTCATTAATAAAAAAAAATCAAGTTTTTTTAATCACTTAAGTATTAATCGGTTAGTGATCATGATGTAAATTTTACTCGGAGAACGAAATCTCTTTTATATTTTTCAAAAATATTGATGCCGACCAAAGAGAAGGCCTCACAAGAGAAGAACGTGCAGTTTCCTTAGAACTATAATGCTGTAATACATTACTGAACTTCTCATAGGTGTCTTTTCAAGTGGAAGAGATTCTTTGGAACTTTCTTAGTTAACTGCAATACTTTAATAACAGTGAATAAAATTCGACTTAATTCAAACAAAATTTAAATTATAAAATAAAATTTGAGTAGTTTAAATTTTTTTAGTAATTAATAGATTAATTTTTAAGTTCGAGTTAAGTCCTTCAACTTTTTACGTTATATGTATATTAAAATAAGAAAACATAAAGAAATATATATATGTATATTATATATATTTATAAAAAATATTTAAATTAAAATCAATCAATATCATAACACCCTAGTTTGTTGAATAAAACAAATCGGTTAAAAATTTTAAAGGTTTAACAACACAAAGTAACCATTTTTACCCTTCAAAATCACGTGAAAAGTGACAACTCTTACTAAGATTAGTCATTTGCGTCGAGCGTTCAGACCTGTCTAAAACCCAGAATCCCAAAAACAAAAAATTGCCAACTTTAACAAGTAACTTACCCGATAACAATAAAAACAAAGGGTATTCCTTGTTTTTAATATTTCCACTTTAAATATTTTGTTCTCAATTGAAGACAACATCGGACGACAAAACAGAGGGAAGAAGGAAAGAAAGAGACAGAAAAAAGAGAGAAATGGGATATTGCAGAGGTGATGAAGACTATGATTACTTGTTTAAGCTTGTCTTGATCGGTGACTCTGGTGTTGGGAAATCCAACCTTCTGACAAGATTTACAAAAAACGAGTTCAGCCTTGAATCTAGGTCTACTATTGGGGTTGAATTTGCAACTCGTAATGTTCATGTCAATGGCAAGGTTGTTAAAGCTCAGGTTTGGGACACCGCTGGACAAGAAAGGTATCGTGCGATAACCAGTGCATATTACCGTGGTGCTCTCGGTGCTTTAGTAGTCTACGACGTAACCCGTAACATTAGCTTCAAAAGTGTACAAAGGTGGCTGAAGGAACTCAGAGATCACATCGATGCCAACGTCGTGATTATGCTGGTCGGAAACAAGTCGGACTTGCGTCACTTGCGAGCAGTTTCGACCGAAGAGGGCAAAGCGTTTGCCGAAAATGAGAAAGTCTGTTTCCTGGAAACATCTGCACTCGAGTCTCTCAATGTTGAGAATGCATTCGCTGAAGTGCTGACCCAGGTTTATAATGTTGTAAAGAAGAAAGCTCTTGAAGTTCGACGAAACCTGGCGGTTTTGCCGAATGGCAAGACGATTGATGTCGGATCAAAAGACGAAGTGTCCGCCATAAAGAAAACCGGATGTTGCTCGACTTAAGAGTGCGATTTGAACTTTGTATGCATTTTGGCAATATCAACTGCAGCACGAGAAAAGCAAACAAACTAGTCTACTATTGCTTGATCTCTAGGACTTAAAATTAATGGTTTTTATGTTGTTTTTCCTTTGTTAATTTAAACCTGTTTTAACTGTAAATATTCGATCAAATCGAGTAAAAATATTAAACTATTCAAATTAACAAGTCATATTTTATTAATCAAACTTTAATTAAAATTTGTTTGAGTTAAATAGAATTATTTGAGTTCCTATAAAAAAACTTGTAATTATTTATAATATTGTGATACAGATTGATTCTAATTTATCGACATTCTCTTACCATATAAAATATAAATATATATATTTATTCATATTATAATATTATTTAATAAATCAAATACAATCTAAAATTATAAACTATATTATAATATTATTTCTAAAAGAATATATTTTGAAGATAAAGTATTGGTGGGAACATAAAAGAATTAAGCAATTGATGGGGAAAAATTTATAAAAAATTATGGTCAAAAGAGAAAATTGAATAAAATATAAAATAAAAGGACTAAATTAAAAAAAATAGTAAATTTATATTCAAAAATAAAAATTAAAGTTACATAGGTATTCTATAAATAAAGGAGCATGTGGTTCAAATTTTATCAAAAATAAATTTAATATGAAAGATAAATTGAAGAAATAAAAAAATCATATAAAATTAAAGATCTAAATTGAAAAAATAAAAAAAATAATAAAAAGAGAAATTGAATATACATAAGTATTCTACCATGGTTTAAGAGCATGTGGTTCAAATTTGATTAAGAAAGTTATAAAATGAAGAAGGAGTTAGAGGAATAAGAAAATTAAGGATCAAATCGCAAAATTATTAAAATACTTTATTTTTGGTTGACTCAAAATTTTCAAATTCAAACTCAAAAATCGAATCGATACTTAAAGTATACTTAAAGTTTACTCAAATAGCTAGAAATTAAAAAAAATGATTTTTTAATCAAATTTTACTAGCCTCTACCTTGCTTAATAGTATAAATGATCAGCTAAACTTCCTTGGTTTTGCATCCAAGTCAAAACTTTGGATGATCATTGTAAAGAAAACACAACATAGAGCATCAATGAACAACTGGGTTAAAAAAAACACATAAAGACACCATTTAAATCATTAATATCCGGTCACACCTAGAACAAAACTGAAGCAAGAACTATAATGCCTGTATACACCACAATCTCTTCCAATTTCAGTTGATGTTCTCGATCAACATGGCCTCTCAAAAACAATAACTTCATTCTGGATCAACACCGGTAAAGCCAAACATACCCACTGTCTAGAAAGAAACAAGTTGGCAAATTTCAGAAGAATGACCAATTATAGTTAGGACAAAGACAGCAGTAAACTCAACATGTTTTGCAGTACCCCTCAAAGTTCTTCTCTTGACCAATTGTTCTACAACCCAAAATTAGGTGGATTATAACCCAATAGGAAAACACCAAGTAGAATAATTTAAGCATATGGTACTAGCAGAAAGACTGGAAACTAATTTTTTTTTTCTTTTCAAAAGCTTGTGAATTAGAGCATGCATCCCTGCAATATGAAAACTATGAATTGCAAATATGGGAACAATTGAAATTATATTTAAAGCTCAAAAAAATTCAAGCGGTGCGATTATGAAATAAAATACCCAAATAAGATCTTACCAGGAGAGGGATGAAGGTTGGGAGATCACTTTGGGTGATTTTTGTTAGGGTGGCAGTTGAAAGAGGGAAGGGGATTAGAGCCTTTGATGACCCAACCGAGGGCAAAGAAAGAAAGCCCAGCAAGAATGGCAGTGCCCTAGGCGTGGGAGTACCATCGACTGTACTGCCTGATGGCATACCTCCATTGATCACGTAGTGTTGAAGGGTCGGGGGTTTGATAGGTCGGGTGGGTTCGCGTAACGAAGCTTTTGATGGCCGGAGAAATCAGAGGCGATGTTGTTTACGATTTTCGGGATTGATTTAGAAGGAGGTGGGTTCCGATGGATTCCAGCTTCGGGTTTTCAGACATTTTCACTGCCTTAGGAAAACAAGTTATTTTCATTAAAAAAAATTATACATATATCATTTAATTAAAATATAGATAAATTATATAAATAATTATTGAACTTTTAAGATATTTGCATTTTAATTATTAAACTTTATAATCATTAAACTTTTAATTTGTTTTTATTATAATTATTGTTGTCAACTGTTATTGATAAAAATTGACGTGTCACGTTAAAATCTTTTTCTCTAAGGGTGTGTTTGGTTCACGGAATGTAAGATTATCAGTGGGAATAAAAGATTACCAGGGAATAGGATTACTGAGAATGTTGTATTTTGTGTTTGGTTGGTTTAGCAGTAATGTAAGATTACCGTGTTTGGTTAAAGGAATAAAAGATTATTAGAATGTATATTTGACCAAATTGTCCTTATTATATATTTGTATAATATTACAAATTGTAAAATATTTATATATTTTCTTTAAAAAATTAAATTCATAATATTTTTATATTTTTTTTATAAAATTAAAAATATAAAAAAAGGTTTAATGAAATGGTAAATTTTTTAACCCTTGAACTTCATATAAAATTTTAATTATAGATTTTTTTTTGTAAATCTAAAATAATTTAAGGATAAATTTATAATTTAACCTTCGTAGAATTTTTATTATTTAATGACAGAATAAGAATATTTTTGAAAAAAAATAAAAATTTAAGGGCATTTTAGTCCAAAACCCGGTAATGTTACAATACCTAAGGGAAGGGAGTTAATGACATTCCCGATAATATACCCCAAAAAATCTACTATTGGTAATAAAACATTACCGAGAATGAGATTCCCGGCCAACCAAACATGGGAATGTGGGATTCCCATCCCATGGGAATCCCACAATCCTTAAACCAAACACCACCTAAAAGAAAATCATAAACTTTTCTTTTAAACTGAATGTTGCCTCATTCTATCATCATTGAAAAATCTTTTAATTTTAATTCTTAAACCGAATATATATATATATATATATATGTATATGTGTGTGTGTGTGTAGACCCTAGATTTTGTTCTCATCCCAGTATTACACCAAGTTGCCCCAGAGCACATGTTTACTACCATTGCCAACTCACAAAGATAAAGATGCATGTGAAATCTAATCCAAATTATGATCACATCACAAGTTGTATTATTTTATTGAGAAGTTATGTAAAATACGGGTTATAAAACCCGAATGAAAATGTAAGAAGGAGAGGTGGGGAAATAGAAACGAAGAGAAACAATTATAAGGGGATTACTCTCGTTTTTCAGAAGTGGATAGCAATAAAATACATATTTTTTTCCAGCAATCCTAAGGTAGTTTAGTTTATATTTCAGTTTTCTTTAATTTATTTGTTCAATTCGAATGCAATTAATAATAAGAATTTTAGTTTGTAATTTTGTTCGTAGTTAATATAAAATCCATGAGTTTAAAAAATAATAATTAAAATAGAGATAGAAAGTTAAGTTACCTTGCTGCAGTACGTCGGAGTAGGGATATTGTCGTCATCGGATCTAGAGTTAAGTGGTCGGTGTGGATCTCGATTTCACTGGAATTTGGGTTGCCATGGTTGCTCTGTGAAGGAAAAGAAAGCAACAAGACTAGAAATGAAAAAACTAATCTGGTTCACGTGTAGAAGGAAGAAAGGAAAAGATATTAAGCTTTAAAACATTTTGATTAAATCACTTGTCAGGCCACTAGATTTTAGGAGTTTTATATTTTGTTCATATATATTAATGATTAAATCACGCATAAGGACCTCATGTTTAGTGTGTTTTATTCTTTGGTCCTAACAGGGTAAAATCACTTTTAAGCTCCCTTATTTTAATGCCTTTTGCACTCTGGTCATATATTTTGTTATGTGTTTCGAAAATGAATATTGAATTTAATAATCTTCGAATTTAGCCACTTTTATTTTAATTTTTTTTTATTCGGATCCTTGTTTATTTTTTATTTAGCTATTATTTTATGTTTCATTACATTTTTTATTACAATTTAGGCTCATGTATTTATTTTAAATTGATTGTTGAGGATCTTATTTGTTCATATTTATTTATTAGGTCCTTTTACTTTAATCCTTTAATTTTATGTTTGTGCTATTTTAGTACTTTATTTTTTTTGCTATTTAATCTATTAAGTTTCTGTTTTTCTCTTGCAGCTCATTCCTATAATTAATTCGATCCGTGAATTTTAATTATTTCTAATTATTTTTATTTTTTTATATAAATTCTCTTTCACTCCCTTTTATTTATTTATTTACCTATTTTATATTTTATCTTTTAATACTAACTCTTTGTCTTTGTTGGTTTTATTTTTTTTACTTTATTTATGATTTTTTAGGGATAATTTTAATTGATCAAAAAGGTAAATAATTATGATCGAAATTTTAAATTTTAATTTTAATTTTAATTTTTGCAATTAAGACAACCGATAAATTAAATGGTACCGAAAGGGTAGTTCAAGGGTGCTAATCCTTCCTTGACTGTAACCAACTCTCGAGCCCGACATATTTCTGGCAAAACGCAGATAAGGTAAGATGGTATCCGATCAACCTAAATATCTTTTTAAATGATCGGTGGCAACTCCTAATATTTTATTTCAAGTCGAAGCCAAATTTCGGGCCCACCTGAAAGGCGATCGCGACAGCTTGGCGACTCCGCTGGGGGACAAGTAAGTGAGTCAGGCCAGAATTAATTTTCGGTTATTTTTTTATGCGAAAATAGTAAATTTAAATTTATTTATTCGATTTCAATTATTTACCTTTGATTATTTTTCAAATAAATAGTTGTACTAACATTCTTTCAATGATTTCAGATTTTTGAAAAGTTTTTATCTTTGGCTCTATACCTGAGCTCTGACCCTTTTAAGTAGGGGTGAAAGCGACGCCTTCGTAAGAATTTATTCTCCGCACAGGCCTAGCAAGTAACATTCGGGATTCATATATCTT